CCCTAACATTTACTGAGCATATATTATTGGGTCATTGGTAAAGTCATGACACATTTTTGCATAGAAAAACATAGAAAAATACATCATGACTTTCTTGACAACTTTAATATATGCCAGGCCAACGTTAATCATTTCACACGCATCAGTTCACTGTGTTTTCCAGTAAGTAGTAGACACTGTTACTGCTGCTTTCTAACTTACGGATGAGGACACTGAGGCTTAGAAAGGTTAGCAACTTCTCCTACCTTTCACAGCTGATAAGGTAAGGAATTTAAACTCAAGTCTGAGTTTAGAGCCCATGCTCTGTTATTTTCTTCTTTGGATAACTGTAAATGTAGCATGCACCTTGACCTTGATGATGTTAAGGAAAGCTACCTAGACCGAACTTTTCAATCCTATGAAGCTTAGAAGATAATAATGCGGGGCCAGGTCCAGGGTCTGATGGTTAAAGGAGCCAGCTCCCATGTGGCTGACTACATGGCTAGAAAGCCTGCCACACTGGCTTAAAAGACACACTAAGCACATATATGTCCGTGACCCAAATTCCAACAGGATAGAGAAATGGAGGAGAAGGGACTGCATCATGACCACACCCCACAGGACATACGTTCTCCTTCTCCCTCTCTCTCTGTCTCTGCCTCTCTCTGTCAAACACACATGACCGCTAGCAAATAATAAAAATCAATGAAAAAGAATGCAGAACCAACCCCAAGTGTGTGTCAACAGATGGATGGGTGAACTGTGATCTGCCTGTACAGTGGAACACTACTCAGCCTGACAAAGGAAGAAAGGGGCCAGAAGGTCGTGTGGCGGTAACACAAAGCTTTGTTGGACTGACCCATGTGGGAAGGCTCAGGGTTCGCGTCTGGAGGACTCCCCTGAACATGACAGGGGTATGTGCTCATGATCCAGGCTGGCTAACGCTGGGGATGGATGGCAGTGTGAGAACCCTGTATCGGGGGTTCCACACTCAAGGAAGAAAGAAATAAACTTTAAAAAAATTTTTAAAAAGGGGGGGGGAAGCAGTTAGCGTAATGGCTATGTCGCTGGACTCCCACCTAGTCAACCGCGGTTCGCGTCCCGGACTCAGTGGCTTAAAACTCACGCCGGGCGCATGTGCGTGCGTACCCAAGATCCCGAGAGGAGAGTGGAGGAGAAGGGATTGCAGCGTGACCATCCCCCCTTGGGGGGTGATTTCTCACTTTCTGTCTCTCTGTCTCTCTCTGTCTGGCGAGCACACGTGCCCTATAGTGAAAATCTCTCCAAAAAAAAAAAGGAAATTATGATAGCTACTACAACATGGATAAAACTTGAAGACATGATGCTATGTATCATAAAAGAAGCCAGTCACAGACCAGCAGTTGGCGTAATGGCTATGTTGCTGGAATCCCATGTAGTCTACCGCGGTTTGAGTCCTGGCCCCAGTGGCTTAAACTCACACCAGGTGCGTGTGTGTGCATGCCCAAGATCCCAAGAGAAGAATGGAGGAGAAGGTACTGCGGTGTGGCCATCCCCGCTGGGGGGTGATTTCTCACTCTCTGTCTCTCTGTCTCTCTCTGTCTTTTTCTGGCAAGTGCACGCGCCCTAAAGCAAAAACCTCTCAAAAAAAGAAAAAAAAAAAAAAGAAGAAGAAGAAGAAGCCAGTCACAAAAGGACAAATACCATAGGATTCCACTTCCATGGGGAACTAGAATAGCCAAATTCAGAGTCAGAAAGCAGAAGAGTGGTCACTAGGAGCTAGGGGAAAGGCAGAATGCATGGTCAGCATTTAACAGATGTGGAGTTTCAGTTTGGGAAGATGAAAAAGGTCTGGAGTTGGATGGTGGTGGTAGTTGCATGGCCACATGAATGCACTTAACACTACTGAACTGTACACTTAAAAATGGTATGTTTTGTGCATATTTCACCACACACACAAAAAAATCACAGGACAAGCAGTTGACATAATGGCTATGTTGCTGGACTCCCATGTAGTCAACTGCGATTTGACTCCCGGACCCAATGGTTTAAACTTAAGCCAGACACATGTGTGTGTATGCCCAAGATCCTGAAAGGAGAATGGAGGAGAAGGGATTGCAGCATGGCCATCCCCCTGGGGGGGGGTGTGATTTCTCGCTTTCTGTCTCTTTCTTTCTGGTGAGTGCACGTGCCCTATAGCAAAAATCTCCCCCCCCCAAAAAAAAAAATCACACACATAAAATCATACCATCTGGACCCCACACTAGTTAAATCAGAATCTCTCTAGGCTAGGACACACATAATCTGTATTTTTTTTTAAGTTTTGAAAAAATAATTCTTTATTTTGTTTTGATTTTGTTTTTAAGAATTATTTATTTTATTTATTTATTTTATTTATTTATTACTATTATTATTTTTTCACATGAGTTTTGCCAGAGGAAGAGAGAAAGAGAGGGAGAAAGCAAGCTGCCAGGTCCAGGACTTGAACCATAGTCAACCATGTGGGAATTCCAGCACTGTAACCACCACGCCACCTGCTGGCCCCTGTATTTTTTTTTTAACTACTAAGGAGCTTCTAGGGGGAACCCAGAATTGAGAACTCTAGAATTTGGGATTTAGGATTCTGGAAGTCACCTTCCTAGAAATCCCTGACCTTGTCGCAGGTTCTTACTTTCTCATTCACACAAAAGGCCTGAAAGCAAGTTCTCTTCACTGCTGAGTTTCCTGGCCTGCTGCTGACTACGATGGCCTGCAGCCAAGAATTAATGGAACATTCCGGAAGCAGAAAGCTCTGTGGTATACTGGTTATTTCTCTGGCTTGTAATTGTCTGCATATGCTTAATCTCCCTTAATAGTCCAGGAAGCAGAGTGATGATTACTGAAGTGCCGTGATTTCAGAATCAAGAACAGAGGATTCCAATCGAATCAACAATTCATAGCACTGATGGAATCCTTCTCTACGCAACTCCCACATTCACATAAAGGGTCTTCAAGGAGTTCATGGAAAACGTGTATTATGATCAAACTTATAGAGATTTCAAAATATTTTGTACTCAGGCTGGTAGGTGGCACGGTGGTTTAGGTGCTGGACTCCCACATGGCTGACCACGGTTTGAGTCCTGGACCTACGGGCTTGCTTTCTTGCTTTTCCTTTCTCTGTCTCTCTCTGGCCAAATTTTTTTTAAAAAAATAATAATGATAATAAATAAAATTAAATCATTAAAACTTCTTTAACCAAAATAAACTCATATATATGTTTTTAATTTGCACATATGTTCACCAAAGAGAGAGAGAGACAGAGGGAAAGTGAGAAAGCGTACCCCACGAGGGATGGTCATGCCACAATCCCTTCTCCTCCAATTCTCCTCAGGATTTGGGCTTGCACACACATATGCCCAGCGTGTTTTTCAAGCAGCAAGGTCCAGTACCACACAGGTTGAACCACACAACTGGCCAGCCACCTTAGCCACCCTGCCTCTTGGTGCCCCAATTCAAACTTTTATTCCATTTTTTCCACAAAATTGTAAAGTTTTCCAGTTTTGTTTTTTGGGTTTTTGTTTTTTGTTTTTTGTTTGTTTTTGTTTTTGTTTTTTGTTTGTTTGTTTGTTTGTTTTGTATTGCAGCATAATTTGGGGTGGTTCTTAGCAGAGGGATGAAAAAAGGGGCTTATTATGAGGAAGAAGAACAACATCTGGCCTTCAGGTCGGCAGCTAATACTCTCTGAGCACCTGCTCATTGACTATCACAGGGCTAGGTCCTGGGAAACTCCAAGATGCCCTCAAAGAACTCACATTCTGCAGAGAAACAGACATAGCCATTCACTCATTCAGTCGATACATATTTCTTGAGCTTCTACAGTGTGCCAGACACTACTCAAGGTACTAGCACAATGAAGACGGTATTTAAGTATTTAACAAGTTTGGCAAAGATACAGAATTTAAAAGATGCTCTTCTGGGCCCAGTAATAGCCCTTAAGTTTCTGGATCATGGGGCAGTCTGGGGGGGAATTCAGAGGAGCCAGGGTGGCTGGGACCCTGGAGAACAGGGACAAGCCTAGGGGCAGGTGCCATATAGCAAAGAGTACAGAAGTATTTCAACATTTTCTTTATGCCAGAAAGGGCATGTGCATGAACCTCCCATCAGGGCCTGGCCACACTATTATTCTTTTTCCTCCTGTTCTCCATCCTATCAGGATCCTGGGCAAACGCATACATCCTCCCAGCTCGTTGCTGCCAGGATAGGGATTCAAACCATGGTTGGCCATGTGGGATCCGGCTTCCTTTACACAGTCCTTTACTACTGTTCTGCAGAGCTGGCCCCATTTCAACGCTGAACAGCTGGGAGTGCTCTGTCCTTAGGAGCCAAGTGAATGACAGCCTCTGCTCGGGCGCAGACATGAACAATTCAGCCAAGGTCCTTGACCTCGTGCACTGATTTTCTAGTGCAGGGGTGAATGAGCCTTTTCTTTATGACCAAATAGCAAATATTATCAGGCCTTTCGGGCTCCACATCCCTGTCCCAACTACTGAGCTCTGTCACTGTAACACAACAGAGGTCGCTGACAATAATAAACAAGTGGCTGTGGCTCTATTCCAAACAAACTTTACAAAAACGGTCAGCGTGGGCCACAGTTTGTTTGCAAAGCCCTGTTCTAGCAGCTAAGGTAGACATATCATTCCTCCTTTCAAATATTTATTTATCAAGCGTTTTCGACATGAGTATTACATGGCACTGGTAAAAGCTGTGCTGGACAAGATAGTTGTCCCTGCGCACACACGTTCTGGTGGGAGAGACAAGAGCAGTTCTTTCGGTACGTCATGGTAAATGCAAAGTAGAAAGTAATCAGGAAATGTAGAGCAGGCAGTTAACTCAGCCTTGACTGCTTGGATCTGATACCCACAATGCTGGCTCAGCAGCCTGGCACTGAGATGAGCACGATCACTAGAGGGCGCTAAGAGCCTTTTCACTGGGACAGTCGTAGAATCCCCATAGCTTTCCTGGTGGGTTCTCTGTCATCACTGCTTTTCCCTTGTGTCCCCCAGTCTCTAAACAGCTACAACGAAGGAGACTATGAAGGATCCAAGCGGCTTGGGCGGAATGCCAAATGGGTAGCCATCGCCTCCATCATCATTGGCCTTCTCATCATCGGCATTTCTTGTGCCGTTCACTTCACGAGGAAGTAAGTAGGCTTTCTAAATCTCCCCCAATATAAAATGCCTATTTTTGATGCCTTTTGAAAGCTTTTAGGATATATCAGGTTATGCAACAGACAGCCTCAAACTAAGGGCTTTTGTGTTTTCTTTACTGATGTTACAGGGACCATGTAGGTTGGTAGAAGAGCTCTCCTCCACACAGTCATTCAGGGGCCCAGGTAGTTGAAATTCTACCTTTCTTGTAGCTGCTCTACCTAGAACACATGATCTCTGCAGCAACTACTTAGCTCCTGCCTTTTAAGGACAAAAGCAGCCATGGGAAACAAACAGGCATTGCTGTGTACCAATAAAAGTTTATTTACAGGGACCAGCAGATGGTGTAATGATTATGTCGCTGGACTCCCACATAGTCAACCATGGTTCCGAGTCCTGGACTTGGCAGCTGAAAACTCATGTTGGGACCAAGTGCATGTGTACCCAAAAATCCCAAGAGGAGACTGGAGGAGAAGGGACTGCGGTGTGGTCATCCCCCCGGGGGGTAATTCCTCGTTTTTTGTTTCTCTGTATCTTTCTGTCTTTCCCGCAAGCACACACACCGTACAGGGGAAAAAAAAAAAAAAACTCTCTAAAAAAAAATTATTTACAAGAACGAGCACCTTGTCTGTGGGCTATCATTTACCAGCCTATGACCTAGAACTGAGGTGTTCCAGGTAAAGGCCGGGGAGAGGAGCATCGGAGAATCTCATGTAGGCTTTTCACTGCCTAAGCCTAGAAATGACAGATGTCACTCATGCTCACAATTAATTGATTAAAACAGTCACATATTCCCATCTAACTGTAAGAGCGTGAGGAAAGTGGTAAAGTAAACGGCATATTCTGGACTGTTCCTTGCTCTGCCTTACCATGTGACCTACTAAATGATTTCCTACATGAATTTGCATTAAACTAACCTAATTGATCTTAGTTTAAGGGCAGAAAGGTCACCACATGTTTTTGGAATTGTCGGTGAGCTTTCATTTCATAAAGAGATGGATGCTGGATCTGGGCAAATTTATCCCGATTTCTCTAACCAGGCTGAGATAGGCTCCATCTGCTAGAATTAATAACGCTCTGTATCAGAGGGTTGACAGAGGGCAAGGTGACATGATGGACAGCCCAGACACAGCCGTGAGAAGCCCAGGCCCATCTCTGTCTTGCTGTGAACTCCTGGCAAGACAGATAAGAACGTGGAGACATTATTTTGCTTTTCCGCAGAGCAGCACGGTTACTCCTGCACCCTGAACCAAGGAACAAGGCCTAGCGGGCCAAAGAGCCTCATTTGAGTGGGAGAGGGAGAAGGGGAACCTCCCTTGGCCTGCCAGAGCACCCATTCCAATGTTGGCAACCGAGAGCGTTGTCACAGATGTCATGGTAGATTAGCTTTATATCAGACAAGTCCAACCAAGGACCGATCAGTGGCAGCTGGATGGAGAGAGAGACATCAAAACAGGAAGTGTCACAAAGGAAAAATGGGTAGCTTTGTCCAAAGACAGGAGAAAAGGTCATTAAAACATCAAAGGAAACTCAAGGTTTCTTGCTTGCAGGATGGCAAATTCGATGATGCTGGCTCGTGAAGGTGAAGTCAGTGGGAGAATAGATGTGAACACACCCGAGTATGTTCTTTAAAGAAGGTGTAAGGTGCTTGTGTGTATGTGTGAGTGTGGGGCATGGTGTGTGCAGCTAATGGTTCGGGTTTGGCAGCGGGCTGCCTTGGCCCACGCTCTCTCCAGCCTCTTACTGGGAGACCTTCAGCCAATTGTTTTAACTCCCCAAACCTCAGTTTCCCCAGTAAAATGAGGATTATAATATTGAGTTGTTGGGGAAGTCATGACACATTTTTGCA